TGATATGCAAAATAGTCTGAAGGTTTGGTTTTCCTGGTTTTGCTCAGCTAGATTTTTGCATATTTTCCCCACTTTGAAAGTTTCAATGAAATGTACAAATGGTGATGCATGTACTATTATCAGAAACTGAGGCACAGCAGATAGGTATTGCACCTCCTGTGGTATCATGGTGTGTTAGAACACTGAGCAATAACATGTAGACGTAGTTCAATGCTATTTTAAGACCTAGATTTTTCTCTTTATGTGAGTAACGCTGTTTAAAGGTTATATTTGAGTTGGCTTCTAGAGTTTGTATCAGCTTTTGTTATTTGAGGATGTGGCAAGGAGGAAGTGACTCTATTGCATTACAGGTAGGACAGATGTTTGCTCTGTGCTGATTAAGTCTTGTTTTCAGTAAGGTGTGTTGACAATGGTAGTACCATATGGTGTATCTGAATAGGCAGTTAAGAGGGTGGTAATTAAGGTATATGTTTCTGTGTTTCTGAACTTGTTACTTGGTAGCTGTCTCATGTGAGGTGGTAGAAGCAAACTTTCCTGAAGTTTCACTGATGAAAGTTTTTAAATATGCTTTATAATTTTTACACATMTTTAAGTTGGTTGAATGTTGACTATTCAATTGTGTTTATTTGCAATTATCTTGTAGCTTGGTGGTGCATCATGTAAGATTTTCCATTAAATATTTATTGGAAATGGAAACAGATTTATGTTTGAAGTTACTTGTTTTAACAGTAGACCTCAGGATAGTTCTTGGGTAACTAGRCTGCACAACTGCTGTTTATGTTCCTAGGAATTTGTGGTTTATTTCTTGAAGTTAGCTTTTTTACTTCTAAGAAGTGAAATTTCCTTGAGGTTCACTGTATAGCATAGCTAATAACAGAATGTGAAAAATAATTTGGCTTAAGAGAAAACATTTGTATCCATATTAGTTTACTGGAGGCTTGTTGAATTAAGAAAGTGGTAGTCCTGGATTGTTTTTTTTATACATTTTCAAGTGAAAGGACTGAATTCTTCCAACAGGTCTATAATAAGTGATTATCTATAATGTCAGAGTTGTTTAAGATGATTCTGACCATTTCTTAAAAATAAAGTACAAAACTGATTTCTCTGCAGCACTATTCTTGCTTTGACTTGTGAAATGTATCAGATCCAAGTTACTTTACGCACAGAATTTCACTAGGTTTGCTGCATTGTAGCAAATYGTTCATTTTCACAGGATAAGAATAGAGAAGAAATACGTTTATTTTTATCTTGATGTATGTGGATTTGGCCTTTTTTTGTGTGGAAATTATAGTTCTGCCTCAGTTTCCAGTAATATAGTTGTCACTTCATCCACTTGCTCACAACCACCCACCATTTTAGTGTAGTTGTCTGATGAATACAAAGAAAAGARAATTTACCTAAAAATTGCACAGAACCACTGCGAATGCACAGAATATCTTCCATCTTGTCAGCTGTTTGACACCTGGGAGTGTGTTTGTGTAACTGTGACAGATTTAATCTCTTGCCTGTTGAGTGCTCCTTCCTCCAGGAAACAAATCTTTCTGTTTGTGAAGGAACAGTCATTCCAGCTAAACCCCAGGCTCTGGGAGAGCTGCATACTTAGAGAATTCAAGACAGGGAAGAGTTTTCCACAGATGTTGGGTACTTGTGGCGAGTGCCTATTTTGCTTGTATCTAAAATTGACTCTGCAATGAATTCTCCTTTTTACGCTAGGACTTTTATTTAAGAGGTTAAGATTAGCAGATTGCCTGCTAGCAGTCTATTTAACTTTTCCGTGACTTTTCCATAAAATGGCTTTAATGAAGCAAATTTATTTAATTATTCCATATTACTTGATTTAAGACTCCATAGTTGGTTATAATGGAAATTCTTGTATAAATCACCATTTTCAGAATGTTTTTTCTGCAGAATTTATCTTTTCCTATTCTGCTCTACAGATGTAATTTTTCCAGTTATCATCTGTATCACTGCAACACTTGGACAGAGATACTTGGTTTCAATTCTTAGTTCCACTCCCTATCCATTGCTCTCAGGTTTAGGAAGGAAGCTGTTCATTATGAATTTTTGGAATAGGAGGCAAAGTAATGGCACTTGTATCAGTGTCACTGCTTGACCCCTGTAAGAGCTGAAGCTTCACTCTGTGCTTTTAGTTACACTATTGATGAATTATATACAGTTCACCACCTAAAATAGATGGTACCACCTAAAATACTGGTGGAGATCCAGGTGAATTTATCTTTCTGGATTCTATTTCTGTGGTTGAAGTTGTTTGTATGAATGATTGTTTAAATTCAGAACAAAATGCTATTAAGTTGCAATGGCTTAGTTGTCCATTTAAATTTCGCAGGTAGAGCAAGATGATGATACTGAATCACAACATGAAGAAGAGAAGGAAGAAGTGAAATGTTATTCAAGAAGAAAGGTATTTTCCAACTGGGGCCGCTATGAGGATACAGAAAAAGAGGGACAGAGTGAATGTGGGGAGTCACAGAGAGGAACAGACTTCAGTGTTTTGCTTAGCTCAGCAGGTAAGCATTTTCCAATCTGTAGGGTTTTTTAGTTTTGCATTTTGAGATGTGACTACTTTTCTTGCTGTTGTCCTTGGTGATGAAACAGCATCCTAGAATACCATTCCTCTCTGCCTCAGTGAGTGTGCCATTTATGTGCAGCCTCATAGCATTCAGGCTGCACTGACCTGGGGAGTAAAAGAGGGCTGCTGGCTGCTGCATTTAAAGCCTCCTTGTGAAAAGACTSGTCTGAATGTGTGCAGCATCCAGTAATATTGAGCTTATTCTTGCTGACCATGAATTTCTTGCTATCTTGGGCATTGTGTTGCTTTCCGGGAAACAAAAAATGTTGCTGCTTGCTGYTGTTTATTTCAACAGAGGTTTGTAATCAGCACTGTAGGGATGTGTGCATGAATAGGAAGTGTTACTCTTCTTGAAAGGAAGATCATGTGTTTTCYTCTGTTTAGAGAAGATAATAAAGGAGAAGGTTGAGGGATAGTCTATACTAGGTCCTGGGTTTTTTTAACCGTACGTGAATAGTACAGGTTACTAAAAAATATTTACCTATAATAATTTTAGAAACTCTTGCTGTGCCATTGTGATGGAATACTATTCAGTAAAAAAGCTGCAAACAATGTATTATGGCAGTTTTTGTAGTACCTTGGAAATTCTGCAATCTCTCAGGTCTAAATAATTGGATTTTTCAGTCTTATCTTGATGGGGTGAATTAGAAGTTAGCTACAAAGACCAGAGAAAAACCTACAAAGAAACAAAGATGAGAGCTTCCTTTCTTTGTGCACGAATCAATTTCTGAAGTTGTTTCACATGAATATTGCAAAGTTAGGCTTAAGCTGCCAGGTTTTAATCACAGGATCATTAAATGTGTATTGACTTCTCTGAATGTCGTGTTGCATGGCAAACAGTGCTGGAGTCAAGGCACATAGTATGGACTTCAGAACTATGTAGGTAACAGTCTGGTTAGCAATGKAGATACAGTAATCCAAAACTTCTTAAAAATCAAGACCTGTCTTGAGCTGCCATGTCTCCATGGTTTAGCTTTTTAGTAACTTCAATAACTCTGTAGTTAGCCTTCAAAATGTCTTTAAAAATGTTCTGAAGATCAGTAGTTTTGAACTGAGGGCATAACAAAATAGTATTTAGCTCTGCTAATTTGTATTTTTCATGAGTTATACTTCATCATGATTATTACCTCCCCATTTATTTTACTCTTTAGGTTCTGTTAATGCCTCAGATTAAAATATTGGAAAGTATTATTCATATATTCCTWCTATTTATTAATTCTAAATCTTTGATTTAGCGAGTGCATAGGATATATTGTGACTGTTCTCTACAGTGAAATAAATAGATAAGAAACAGCAATGGAATGTACTTTCTTTTGGATGAAGTACTTTCTTTTGGAGGAGGAAAAAAGTACTTTCTAAACAATAATGCAGATTTCTTGGAGCCACATAAAAAAGCAGCATATGTCAGCAGGGTTCTTTGTTCTTTAGTTTCTTKGGCTGATGTGTAAAAACTGAGAATATAGTCGTATTTATTTGCAGTGGTCTGAGAAGAAGTTTGCACATATACTTTATTTGATGATTTCTGTTTTTAGTATATTGCTGTCTAGTATTCTGAAGTTRCAAAATGAATCCAATTTAATTGCAACAAGCAGTTAGGGTCTACAGGAGAGGAAGTGGAGTTAAATATTCAGTTTTCATGAACACAAAAGCTTAAGAAAGTCTTAAAGTCTTGTGATTTACTATTAATACACAACAATGTAATAAATACAGCCACTTAAGAATTCTTTGGCAAAAGCTCAGATTAAAACCTGATCTCCTATGTAACGTTTAGGTTTCATCATATTGAATGCAAGGTCTTAAAGAGAGTGTCCTCATTTAAGATAAARCTTGGATTTATTCCCAGAAAATATGCTGTTAATTGAATAAGGTAGCATAGAAAAAAATAATTTGGGATAATATAATAAAGACAATTAATACTACTAGGCAAAGTTAAATGGAGGCATTCCTGATATTCAAGAAATTAAAACATCATGATACTTGCTTGCTTAATATAATGTATTAATTTTTTTACTTAAAATCAACCTAAAAGTAGCAAAATGAGGTATTCTCTGATATGGGTGTTATATCAATAATTAGGAGGATTAGAGCTTTTAAATCTAACGCATAAACATTACTGTTGCTTGAATTAAGAAGGGAACAAAGTTATGGATTGTAACACTACATTTTTATCAGTAGCAGAGGAAGGTGGAAAGTGCAAGTCTGAGAAGGAGAAAGGAGTTTGCAGATAACTTGCAGAGAATGTAAAGTCTTTAGGGTATTTTATTTTACATCTTTCAATAGCTTCTGAAGACAAACACTGTGTTTTTAGATTTTCACCCAGTTCCAGCCTTCCCTGCCTCAAGCCAGTCTTTAGTGCAGCACTGATTCTGTCTTTTCAATCAAATATTTAGGCCTGACTAGTTTCAGACTGTCTCTTGACTGCATGTTTTTTCTCTGCTGACAGCTCTTGCCTGCCTACTGATTCTTCTCACTCTTCCTTCCTTCCTTCTGTTGTTTTTCTTCTTGTCTATGTTTCTGATTCCTGTTGGTCAGTCTTTTTTCTGTCTTTTGTTGTGAGCTAACTCCCTTCCACATATATTTATTAAAATCCAGCTCTCTCAGATTCTGTCAGACACAGAATATATCTGTTCCTCATTCTATCCAGTCCTGTTGATCCCCACATCTTAGTTGTTCTGATTGGCRTTGCTCATTTGATTTAATTCACTACCACATCTTCTTCTGTTCCTCCTAGTTTCTTTCCTTGTCTAGTCAATCCCAGTTCATTCTTTCAAGCTTCCAATTCTGGTCTCCACTACAAACTGCTTTTTTCCATCTTGCCTCTACATTTTCTGTCAGTGTACCCTAAATCCTACTCATGTTACCCCACAATATAAAGTGACAGGCCATTGTTTCCAACTATGTTAAGGATAACAACATAGGTAAAGCTGYGAAAATATGCAAGGCAACACTTTGTGTTGTGTTTTTCCTAAAGCCTGTTAAATGCAGATTTCTCCTACAGTGGAAGATCTGACTCTTCACTCAAAACTGGAAGTTAGAGAAAACTTAATTCAGTTGCCTTGCACACTGAGATGACATGCGGAAGGCCACTGAGGATGTTGATGTGGTGATTGATTGTTAAACTTCAGCAAATCTTGCAAAAATTAGGTGCAAGCTCTGATTTCTAGAAGCTTCTAGCCTGTCTAAGTTGGGTCAGATTTTTCACAAAATGAGTAGAGTGTACCTCTTTCAAACAAAATCATTGTGGCAGTCTGACATCAAGATACTGATTCAGGGCTGTGGATTACACAAGTGGTTACAGTTTCTCAAGCACTTTCACAGTAGAAAAATGTTCAAGCCATTCTCTGGGTTCCTTTACAAGGTGGTGGTAGGGGGAGGATAAGGAAAAGCTATGTGAAGCACACAATAGACATGGAAAATTTCATACTGAATAGTTAAAAAAGCAGCTGCAATAGTCTTAAGTCAGAACTGCGAAGTGGCTTTGATAACAGCTGATGCCACTAGCCTGACAGAGCTTCTTTGTTAGGGCTTATATTTCTGTGTAAAATAAGTGTCCTGGGTTCAGCTTCAGTTTTAAAATATGCTTCTTTTTTAAACCATTTTGTAATTTATTTATTTTTAATTATCCTGAATGTAGCAAACTTTTCTGTATTGCTTTTGATGTCTAGCTGATGTAAAAGTCCATTGTGAAGCCTTCAGGGAATATGTCTTGAATCAATTTATTTAGCTGTTGACGTATAAAGAGCAAGAGAAGTGAAAGTGATGGGATWACCTTACTTTGCTAGCAGAATCTTACCATGTTTGAAGAGCTGCCCTCATTTTTTGATGGATGAGGGTTAAGTGACCTACAGTAGACTTAAGCTGTTCATCAGATTTTTGGCTGTGAATAGAATCTTTAAGTTTAAAAAAATATTTTAAAAATATAATTGTAGAGCAGATCAAAATGTATCCAGGAACTTGATCACTTTTCTTTAAATGTGATAGGCTTTAGCAGTACGGCAGTTGCCAACATACATCCCTCRATAACAATATATGGATTACAGGATATGATGATTATCATGAAATGAAAAAATATAATTTTGGATATGAGTTTTTCCCCTTTGGTTTTTTAGGCCATGGCTGAATAATTCTAGTGTCTTAAAAGTTAAGATAGAGAAATGCTGCGCAGTTCAAACAAAATGGGTAGAATGGTTTTGATATTGCAAAAATACATGTGATTTCTAATAATAATACATATCATTTCTGTAGGTATCTAGCAGTTAGATACAATAAAAAATGCGGGAAAAAAATCGAAAGAACGGTCACTGGAGCATAATAGTAATGAACAATAGGTATAAGAATTATGAGATAACAGTTACATTCCCTTCCCTAAACCCCTGCTCTGTTTTTTAAACCATTTTATTTTGGGTCTCTGTTTAATTTTGATATGTCTAYTGCCATATTTTGCTGCATTTTTGTCATTTGCATGGTCAATACATACAGGAGAATTAGAAGCCCACAGAAGACCTTTGGCCATCTCAGAAAACCKGAACAGATACACTTGTGGAGCAAGACTTGTATTAAAAATAGGTTTTGCTTCAACTTTTCCATCTTAAGTATATATTGACAGACATTTGGGGAAAAAAAAAAAGTTGAGGGAAGAGTAAATCGATTTTCTTTTTCTAATGATAATTCTGCTCAAACAAAAAGAATGGCAATAGCAGGGCATGGTTCCAGTGCTAAAAAATAATCCTTGGAGTTTTAAAATGTTAGAGAGTAGTTGAAAATCAGATTTCTTTACAGAAATGCCTAAYTCATTGGTGATTTGGCTTATTGTATATATCAGGGTCCCACTTTTTGGTGGTATTTGCTCGACAACTTAGCTACTTCTTATTTGGTCAGAAATTCAACAGCTGCAAAACTTCATGTTCTTGCTGTACCCCAAGTGACATGAGGTATGTG